GAGTTGTGCACAAGCTATTTTTGATGGTACGAAATAAAACAATATCGTAGTAAATCGCGGACAAAAATTAAATAGGAATAAGTGATACCAATCGGTAAATTTTTCAACTAACCAGTCAATAGAATTTACTAGAAAAGTCAAATTTAACCAGTGGAATAAGGTATAAGTCCTATGCATGAAGTGAATTTAATTTTCAATGAAAAATCTCACGTGATTTTTACAGAGGTTCTTCACTCAACAAACATTGAAAGCTGAATAAGAACTCAATCAGGCAAAAAATTGCTTCAGCTCAAATTGTTTCTTGGGCAGTCACTATCATGATGATGAGAAAAAGATGATGGAGATTTTCTTCAAAATCTCGTCAATTTCATTGTCATGATAGAACGTGACAGTGCACAGTGGTCCAGAATGCAGATTTAGATGGAAGGATAAGTTTTGAGTCTGAAATTGAAATTTTAGACAAAAGTCTCTTCTACAAAAATGTTCCTTATGGTTAGGCCCTCATTTTTTATTCTTTTCTATAAAATTGCTTGAAATTAGCTCAGCTATAACATTGCCGAAGAATGTACACCTTAATTTCTTCAAACAAAAAAGCTATATTTTTGATTTCAATGATAATAAGAACCACCCTAGAATTCATTGTCATAAAAATGCGAGCCTAACTATAAGGAACGACTTTGTCTAAAGATTCAATTTCAGGCTACAAACATATCCTTCCATTTGAATCTGCATTCTGGACCACAGTGCAGTGTTGGAAAAATTGCTAATACAAGCTCATTTATTGGCACATTTGTTACTTGTGCCGTAAAAATCTTAAATAATTAATTCATATTATCTATTAGTAGCTTGCCCAAATTCATCTAAATCAGTTAGAAATGTTGTTTATAAAAATATACGAAAATTAATCTCACGAGAGCTTGACCATTAAAAAATTACACGAAAGCTCATGATATATAGTTTGGTCTCGAGATAGTGAGAGGATCTGTTTTCTCATTCTCATAGGATGGCCATGATATTTACCAGCTTTGGACAGAATCCCAAGGGTGCAATATTCGTGGTGATGCTATGAAACAGCACGACTGCCGCGAAGCGTGCTTGTTGACTGAATTTCGTCAAATTCTGTAAAGATTGGTTTGGTACATCAAAGAATATACAATTTTATGGTTATCTACTGTGATACACATAACACTAGTTTACAGCATTTTTGAACTCGGTAAGGTGATGATCATTTCCAATGCAAAATCCTACGCTGAATTCAATGCCGTGATCAGAAAAAATTAAAGTAGAGCCATTTTTGAGATATACAAAAAATTTGATTTTTTGAATTTTGGACAAAAGTACGATTACTAAAATGTCAATATCTTTGGAACTAGTACACCAATTTAAAATCTTTTTTTATGAAAATGAAGCTAAATAAATTTGCTATCGTTCACTAGAATATTATGTCCTAATTAAAAATTTAACTTTGAAGTCATTTAAAAATTTACAGCATTTTTTTTTTATTTTTCCTGCGAATTTTCCATAAAAATCTTGTTTTAATCAACATTTTTAATGGGATAAAAAGATTCAAAAAATCATCCCATAATTTATTCTTAAAGTCCATTCAAAACCGGAGAAAATGAGCCTTTAATGGATGAAATCGGTTGGAAATTGTCGAAGTTATGAGCATTTTTGTAAAACACTTAAAAATGTTGCTGAAATACAACAGCTTTAGAGTTCCTTTTCTAGGTGTCGTTGTGAGCATCCAAATCGCATGTAAAGTTTTCATGGGAGATTCTTTTCTCTACATATCAATTTGATTAAGGCATATCATAATTTAAAACCGAGTTGATACAAAAGAAATTTATTTAGGTTTTATTAAAAATGATTGAGAATCGAATGACTTTGTCTTCGATGTTTTGAACTTGTTTCTCGAATCAGAAACCAACAATAGTCACCCATCATTGCTTCATCCCAAAACCCTTGGTAACGACGTTCCATCATCTTCATTTGTTGGTGAAAACGTTCGCCGTGCTCATCACTCTCGTCACCAAGATTTTCCGGGAAAAAATCCATGTGAGAATGTAGGAAATGTATCTTCAAAGACATATTCACACCTGTGTTCAGTGAAATAAAAAGATTTGAAATTAATTATATGTAACAAACACAATATTTTTGATTTATACCTATTTTCTCATAATTTTTGAGCAATTCATCGACGGCTTCCTCATAATCTGGGCTTCTGAAATTTCCTAAAAAGGTTGTGACAACACGCTGGAACGATTTCCACGCTTCTTCCTCATCTGGTGTCAAAACTGTATTGAATGCGGAATCATTGAGCAGTTTTCTGATCTGTGGGCCAACAAATACACCCCCCTTTATCTTTGCGTCAGATAAATTTGGAAATACTGATTTCAAGTACTGGAATGCCGGCCCTTCTTTTTGCAACGCTTTGACGAAATTTTTGAATAGCCCAAGTTTTATATGTAGTGGTGGAAGTATTATGCGTTCTTTTACCACAAGAGGATCATTTTTAACGTTGTCTTTACCAATTGTGAAATTATCCCGTTTTGGCCAATCTTTTCGGACGTAGTGTTCCTTACGAGCTCGACTGTCCCATTTACACAAAAAACACATATATTTTGTGTATCCCTGTTGCAATCCAGTCAACATGGCAACCACTTTAAGATCGGAACAAATTTTCCAATTGTGTTGATTGTAATTTATCAAATTGAGCAATAGAGCCATTGATTCATACGTTTCCTTCATATTAACGGCATAAGCTAATGGAATAGAAGGTTTCTCATTCCCTTGATGCAGTAAAATCATGGAAATTTCAAGCTCAACTTGCTGCTATCGATGAATAAACGCCATTCAGCTGGATCATATGGCTCACCAAACTCTTCAAACAAGCCGTTTACGTCATGGCAAAAACATGCCTTATCCTTTGTAGCCTTGCTCAGCATGTTGTGTTCTTTCAAGCGTGATGCCAGCAATTCGGATTTCTCCTTCGATAAGTCGAGATCTCGCACCAAATCATTAAATTCGGATTGTGTAAACAGTTTTGGGTTTCTTTCCAATTCCACCTCGAAGTCTTCCTCGCATTCCTCCTTGAATTCCTCCTCACTTTTTGTAACGGTCGATTCAACAGAGGGCGCTCGTTTCCGCTTTGGATAAACAGGATACGGGACCGAACTTGAATGTGGAACAGGTTTTGTCATAGAAGCCACTTGTGGATACTCAACTGTTTTGTGACGTCCTTGTTGCTTAACTTTTGTCAAACAGAAATAACAATCCGTTGCATGACAAAACGGTCGACGCCATATGGTGGGCATGTCAAAGGACAAATAGCGACTGACAGATAACAAATAAGTGAGTTAGTAAGTAAGACATTAACACTTATCAAAAATAGATGAAGTAAGATATTGTCGATCAGGAAAGAACAAAGCACTACCATGCTGTACATAAATTGTTTATATGAAAGTTATTCAAAAAATCAATTTACCTTGCGCCTGACATCCACCTAGCCAAGCACGTTTTGCACGAACTACATAATGCTTTTGGAATCCACGGTTCGTCAAAGTCTCCAGGATCAATTTTAAAATAAAGCCTGTATGCAGTTTGCAACGAAGCAGTGAAATTGACCGATTTTGTAAATATATAGTTGCCACACGCGTAACAAAACTTTTGAGGATCATTTTTACACTTGAATTCACGTTTTGTCGTATACATACATCGTTAAGCAATGTTAAAGAAAGAAAGCTGTCAAATTGAGTTGGTTGCGTTAGGTTCTCGCCGAGCGGTCTCACAAACACTAGCGTAAATTATATTATTGAAAATATCCCATTTAATTTTGCGTGACAGCTGGTAGTGTTAGTGAAATGCACCGTATGCGTACACGTCCGCAGAAAGGCTTACTGGAAGTGGTGCATGAACCTAGGAGCGGGACAACGGCCAATCTTGGAACATTCAATTTCCATGATTTTACAAAAAATTTCATAGCTTCGACAATTTCCAACTGATTTCATCCATTAAAGGCTCATTTTCTCCAGTTTTTAATGAACTTTAAGAATAAATTATGGAATGATTTTTTGAATCTATTTATCCCATTGAAAATGTTGATCAAAACAAGATTTTTATGGAAAATTCGCAGGAAAAATAAAAAAAATGCTGTAAATTTTTAAATGACTTCAAAATTAAATTTTTAATTAAGACATAATATTCTAGTGAACGATAGCAAATTTATTTAGCTTCACTTTCATAAAAAAAGATTTAAAATTGGTGCATTAGTTCCAAAGATATTAACATTTTAGTAATCGTACTTTTGTCCAAAATTCAAAAAATCAAATTTTTTGTATATCTCAAAAATGGCTCTACTTTAATTTTTTCTGACCACGGCATTGAATTCAGCGTAGGATTTTGCATTAGAAACGTTGGTCAACCACTAAAGTTCACACTTTTTATGTTGTTTTGTAAACTAGTGTAATCATCGAAAACGATATCTGATTCAACCCCAAGCTTATCACAACGTACAGAACCAAAGCGTCACTAGATTCGTTCCACCACAAAAAAGTAAAGTACCAAGGCTGATAATTCCCGCAATCACTCTGCCTACTCCTTTGGCACCTCCTTAGATAAGACCATGTAAGCCACAGTTTTTGAGAACGAATATTCGTGCAAATTGTTATTTTTATGAACAACTCCAATTGTTCGGAGTCCATTCTATTGCCACAACCTTCATAACGATGCTGATGCTGTATCAAATGCCATTTCCTGCAATGAAGGGAACATTCACATGCCCTATCGCTTTGAGTTGTTTTTTATGTGCTTCCTTTTCGTCTTGATTTGCTTTCTTCCCCATAACAAACATCAGCTCTTATCCGCACTCTTCATGGCTTACTTTGATAATGCGTTCCATTCCTGTAAAGGTCACCATCAAGAGGCGCAATCACTACTGCTGCACAAAAAAAAGCAGTTACAAAAAAAATGACTCACCCGTCAACTGTGCTCTCGTTTTGCAGGAAATTCCGGCACCAAGGAAAAAGAATCTCGCAAGGACAAAGACCGAGGCGATAAAGAAGCCTACTCGTCTTCATCCATTTTCCTACAGCATTCACCGGGATCTGATGGTAAGTGGATGGTTTTACTTTTTCTTTGTACCTATTCATAAAAATAATCCAACGCCTGTCACAACAAAACTCATGTCCATTAATTTTATTGGGGAAATTGGATGGAGGACTGTGTTGTTGACGACATCATATACTGGCTGTCTCTGGCAAGCTTAGAAACTATGCAAGGTAAGGCGTAAAGGAACAATGATCTCTTACTATAATTAGTTAAAAGTTTTCTATAGCACCGAATAAGTGTGAAATAGATATCCTTGGAAGCCACTGAAGATTTCCACTGAACATTAATACAAATTAATAACTTAACGCTTAGTTGGTGTTCCAACATCTCCCATACTCGTTTGATATGTGAAAACAATGCGATTGAAAAAAGAGACCATCATAATTACCTGAGATATCTCAAACAATGTAGATGTCAAATGCAGCGAAGAGTTTTCATAATTATTCGCTGATACAGTGTAAATATTTACGTTTTTTTCATAAAACTGCGGCATAATTACCTGAGTTTTGTCAACAAAACGTTAATATTTAAACTTTATGCTGCGAAGAATTGTACGAACAGGTAGTGCTGTTAATTTTCATTCGATTGAAGATCAATTTTGTGAAAAAGAATTCTCTCATGCCCATCATTTGAAGAGCCCCTTTCTCAATCGAACCTCATAGTCACTGTCAATTGAGTCACTCACTATCATTTATACGACAGTGGAGTATGGAAGAAATCCAGAAACAAGGTCCCAAACAGACATGCCGACCCGATGTCGAATCAATGTAAGGTCGATGTCAACCCAATGTCGGGTTGTTTTCGGCTCAATTTTGAGTTTGTGTCGGGTCAATGTCAGGTTAACATAGGGTTGGGATTTGGTAGAAGTCAGGTTGGTGTCGGGTTAGTTTAGCTTTCTCACCGCAATATCGACCAGAGCGCCGTTTGTGTATAGATTACACCTAGGGTTACACTCAATTGAATGATATCAACCGTTTCTCAAATGAGATTGATCTATGTCAGATCTAAGGATTTAGTAGTTAGTGTCATCTTGTGTTTTCCCAAGTTGTAAGCTCCCCATCGGTGTACCCCCATGTCTGTCTTTTTCATTAGTATGTCGCTTAGTTCGAGATCAAGAGCACATTGCTCTCCAACCCTTGTGTTCTCAATTCCTACCCTGGTATACATTTGTTACAATCTGTTACCCCTAACCGCGAGATAGCTGCGAATAATCGGCCCCGCTTTACTAACGTTAGTTTTAAGTAATTTTGTGATCTAAACAATGAATGTCGGCTCCTCAAAGCTACGGCAAATGAGCCTGGAAGAATAACCATAACCATATTCACCCATTCGAAGGAGGTCCCTTTGATAGCGGATAGCTGCTTTTCTCATTTTCATCAAAAAATTTCAATTGATTTTGCTGTAGCACTGCATCAAACCCTTAAATGAATCGGCTACCGTAAATCACTGAAACCCGAATACTTTTAAAAGTTGATTATCAATACCTATTATGCTCAAAACAGATCGTAAATTTTATCATGGATTGGTCGTTCAGAATGATCACACATTTTTATTGAGTTGCAAAGTAGTTAAAGTTAATAAACCACCAGACAATTGTATGAATAAATTCTAATTATAGACATGGTGAAAAAACCGATTGATTGATTGAGTGCTGCAAATATTTATTGCCTAGTATTAATTTAAAACTTTAGTATTTTAAAAATTACCACAAGCTTGAAAATATTCTTCCTCCGAGATTTTGAAATTTCCTCCAACTATAATTTTAACCTTGATTTTTTGAAGGTTGCAAACATTTTGTAGTCTCCAAGTATTTTAAATTTTATTTATGATTTAAATGATTTCCAGCATCCTTACTAGAAATCTTAATGTTGTTTGGAAACTTTATTCATTTTTTATATTTCCTGCAATTCGAAAAAAATAAAGGTTTTTCCAAATACGGGATTTTTTTTCCCGCGACTTATAACTGCAGTTGAATAAAATGACCACTTTAAGTCTGATATTTGACGTTAAGCATCTCAAACTATGTAAATCGTTAACTTCACGCATGAAGTAATACAAACATAATTTTTTTTTTTATTAATTACTTTATTTGTACAGGCTCAATCGAATAAACTTTACAGAGCCGAGTTATCATTTTCGTTATACATTATTGATGTCTTATATTTAAAGTTAAAGGAGCTGGACCGGATACTCGCGGTTGTCTCGAGGTTAGTGGAGATTTACAATTTTTTTGGATGGGAAAAGGGAGCAAACATAATTAGTTAAAGTACATAACTCTAGATGGGAGCTTACCATCAATCATACTGCCATTGGTCGAAAGGTACAGTAGCAGCACCTCCCCTACCCGTGTCGCATTCAATGACGTTTATATAAGGTTCGGGTTAAGAGGCAGCTTATTGATGTTAGAAGCAAAAATGCATTGGCTACTGGTGTTAGAAGCAAAAATAGAGGTAACAACAGCTGCAATTTCCAAACCTATCGACTAGATGCTTACGTCACATGACGACTTGAGTGTGAAACAATCGATAGAACTGTTTCGCACATCGAAGATATGTGAACAAATCGGCGATCATCTATTTTGCCAGGGGGGATACCCCACACCATTCCTCCCCAACAGGGGAGTTTGGTAAAGGAGATGATCAACCCGATTCGTACCTTCTTCAAAATTGATCTTTGCTCGCTTTCTACTCTCTATACACAATTTTCACACTGCCGTACTCTAACGGAACTATCAACTCTATACTTTCATCTCCTCATCTATCGTATAAAATGATCACTTTAAGTCTGATATTTGACGTTAAGCATCTCCAACTAGATGAAAACTTGTTTTTCACTGAATAACTATCAACCCTATCGATCGCAACTTTAGCTCTAACACGGTATTTTGGTAATGATTAATTCAGCCATCGTTTTTTAGTAGAGATCCCTGCAACATCTTCACCTTTAGAATTGCCAAGGAAAGGATAGCCGTGTTATTTTTTGTAGACATTCATTCATTCATTGCTAAAAAATTCGTCTTGTTATTAGGCTGAACCAGTGTTGTGGAATAATGAATCTATGGATCGTGTATAAAGTATATAGGAGCTCATAAGCTGACTGTATTCATCTTTATTCAGCAATATTGCTAAATCTAATGGAATCGATTAATGGAGCTAAAAAACATTGATAAGACATCTAATAAGCATGATATTCAAGCAACTTCAAATAGTCGAATTAAAGTATCGATTTATGAGCAAATTGCACTCATTCAGTATTATTAGACAAACTTCACAAATGAAAACAGCCAACGTTTATAAAACTATATAAGGCTTATATCAGGGCACACAGTGGAATAAAGGCTCACTCTTCACCGATGGCAGACACGAATTGACTGCTGACAGCCGTTATAGAAGCTTCGGTTGGGTTCGGGTGTACAGCAAAAATTATGAAATCAATCTCACAACAAATTGTTGAGATTTGCAGATGGTGTGTTTTGTTAGCTTATTATTCCAAGCTGCAATATCACAGCTTACAAAATCAACCGCAGTTGTTTGCTTGCTGATTTTTGTCTACGAAAATCAAGCGTGATCTTGGGCATTGGTGACATTTGATTTTTTGATATTTTCCCAACACTGACGAGAAGTATAGCGATCGATCGAAATAGAATAAATCGACGTCAAAAACGGAGATTTTTTCATTTTTTTTTTGCTAACGGTCAAACAAGAATGCGTGAAAATTGATTGAATTTTAACTAAAAAATTCAAATTATTCTTCTTTTTATGAAATACAGAAAAAAAATCAGTCAAGCTTCTGGTTGACCGAATCCTTATTGCCGGGCATTTCGATTAACTCCTCTCATCAGATTCTTTACAACCACCTCTTCCACTTTGTTCGCCACTAAACGGCAGTTTGTGTTGAACTGCTTCTCGCTTCCAACAGTTTTGTGGGTATTCTTCAGGTTCCGCTTGATGATGGTCCAATATTTTTCGATTTGGCAGAGATCTGGTGTGTTGGGAGGGTTCTTGGCCTTGGGCTCCACCTGCACGTTGTTGGTGGCATACAATGACGTAATGGCAGGATGCCAAATCCGGTCAAAACAGCACGTAACAATCGTGTTACTTCAGGAAAAGCAGCAGACTTTTCAAGCCACAGGTACAGATAGCCTTCCTTTCCAGATATTTCTTAGCGAACTTCGACAGTAAGCTGTTTGAAGTCTGTCTTGACGTAGGTTTCGTGCGAGCAGTTTGGATTCTCGCGATGCGCGTGCAAAATTTTGATGCGTCGCTCCTCTTGCTTGGACGTCATTTTGATAACTGAAGAGCAAATGTCAAAATCAAAATAGAGACATCATTCTGCACGCAAACACCTACTAAATTAGGGAAGGTCCATTAATTATGTCACGCAAATTTGGCCCATTTTCAACCCCGCCTCCCTCCTTTGTCACATTTTTTATGGACCTTATTTTTTTTATATGGCTCGTCACAGTTTCCAAAACCCCTCCCTCCCCCCTAAAAGCGTGACATAATTAGTGTCCACGGTGAAATTGCCACACACAAAATTGATTCGCAAAATTCGAGTTTTCATCCGATTGCCATCAAATTTTCAGGGATTGAGAAATAACTATTAAACTTCATTTTACCATTTTACTCGTATTTTATTTACAGTCCATACTCAAATGCCCGCACCTTGGCCTTAACCCCGGCCATAAGATTCTGCACAACCTGTGAATCAACCGTTTTTTGCATGTAAACCCATACTTTCTTCAGTTCCTCGACTGTCTTCACTACCTTAGGTCGTTTAAGAAGGTGCTGCTTCATAATCGCCCAGTACTTCTCGATGGGGCGGAGCTCCGGAGTGTTGGGAGGGTTGAACATTTTCGGCACGAAATTGACCTTATTGTCCGCATACCACTTCAGCACGTCCTTGGAGTAGTGGCATGAGGCCAAATCCGGCCAGAAGATTGTTGGGACGTTGTGGGCCTTCAGGAGAGGAAGCAGCCGCTTCTCGAGGCACTCTTTTATGT